GGGGACGGGAGGAGCCGGCCGGGTCGGCACCGGCCAGCAGAAGCGGCGGCGGAGCCGTGTGCTGTTCGGGACGGGACGGGACGGGACGGGACAAGCCCGGCAGGGGCTCAGCTGCATTTTCCCCCTGCCTGCGCCGGCCAGTCCCGAGCGGCACCCGGCTCCGCCGCCGCCTCTGCTGGCCGGTGCCGACCCGGCCGGGCTCACCTCGTCCCCGGCAGCACATGGGAAGCCAGCACGGGGGGCCTCGGCAGGCGGGGTCCTGGTGTGACCTCACTGGGTGATAAAAAGCTCATGATCCGGCCCCACATTCAAAAAGGTTGGACACCCCTGCTGTAGAACCAGGGCTGCTCCATGGTCCACAGTCTCCCGTTAGTTGGTGCCTACACCGCTCACCGTCTCAGAAGGTCACCTGCAAAACGTTTACTAGACAGGCTGTCTTGGTCTCTGGTCCAGCTGCCAGCTTGCAAGTCTGGCTTGTGGGGGGGGGGGGAGACCAGGGGGGGTTACAGAAGCACTGGCAGCAACACCATCTTTATGATTGTCACCCGCCCACCCATGGAGAGGTGTCACCCATGCCACATACTCAACTTCTGCTTCACCTTGGCCTCCTTCTTCTCCCAGGCCTTCCTTCCACTCAGCTCTGGGTCAAATTCCACCCCAAGAATCTTGACCCCCTTGCAGGGGACTGAGACCCCCAGGGACTCCAGGTCCCCAAGCTCGCCTATGGCAGGCAGGTGCTTTTGCCCACATTGCCCCCACTGCCACTTCATCAATCTGTGTCCACTCATGCCACACTGCACACCTCTTGCTGTACCCGCAGACAAAGAGGCTGTCCCAAGGAGCCTCCAGCCAAGCCTCAGCAGTGTCTCTTCCTTTTGGGGGGCACCCCATCAAGCCCACTGCCTGTGCCCTGCACACACTCCTGTGTGATGAAGGGTATTTATACCCGAAAGTTTGCAAAGAAGAATGTTTTCAACTATTTGAGCAAGTCTAATAAAAGATATCAGATTTGCCCAAAGAACCCTGTCTGCCTGTGTCCTTAGACCAACACGGCTACAACCTACCCCCCTGTGAACACACAGGCATGTGTACACGCACATGCACAAATACACTAACCCTGCATACAAGTCCCAACCCCAGCTGTCTCTGCCTCTTTAAGAATGTCATTTGATTTGCATAGCCACGCCTCCAAGCTGTCTGAGTAGGCTCCCAAGGACCCGCCCCTGTGCTGGGCCTTGATTGGCTAGCTAGATCTGAATATTTAAATCTGCCAAGGGAGGAGCTTGCTGTGTGAATGGCCCCCCCGCCCCGCCCCGAGCAGGGGCAGTAGTGTGGAGGGAGCTCAGCCCCGCAGTGCGGGGAACGGAGCGTCCGCTGCCACTGGGACCCTGCTGTTCAGACAGACTCTAGCTCTTCAGTGGTGCCACCTCTCCACCAGCTACACTGCCTGAGGGGGGAAGCAGGGGGGACTCCTGGCTGCTTTACCATTGTGCCTTTTATCCTCGTTAGGGAGTTTCCGAGCTCAGCCTCTTTTTTTCTGTCTTTTTTTATTGCCGTCCCCTCCCCACTCCACCCCCTTGCAAAAAAAAAAAAAAATTGACAGCTGCATTAAAGACAGACCGGCTCTAAGGGGTTTGCAGAGCGGTGTTTGATGAAAGCCAAGAGAAAAAAAAAAGCCCCAGCATAACAGTTGGTTTGAAATAAAGGACAAGCCTGTGTGTCGTGGAGATGAGGGGCCTACCCGGCTGGACCGTGATCCTAGCCCTGGGGAACTGGGTTTGGGTCGAGGGTGTTGTGCCTCTGGCTGACTTTTACCCCTTTGGCTTGGAGCAGGGGGATGCTGTCACTTTGAAACAGGATGACGGAGGCTCCGGGCTTCAGCCGATTTCAGTGAAATTCCCTTTCTTTGGAGTGGGACACACAGGACTTTATGTAAGTAGCATTTTCTTTGCTTCGTTTCAATTCTGGAAGAGGCTTCGGGCTACAGCTTGCTTCCTGGCAAGGGGCCTTGCCGGGGCATCACTCTCTGCTCCCTGCAAGGTGGCATTTCCTGGCACAACTTGACAGCCAGGCTGCAGTCTGCTTGCGATGAGTCTGCCACCGTGGTGAGTTCCCTGGAGCTTTTCCAGAGGGGAAAGGTAAAATCAGGGCACAGCTTTTTTTTCTCTTTTTTTGCTCTCTGGCAGCTCAGGCTGAGTGGAGAAAAAGAGTGGGGAGGAAAAGAGGGACATGGAGTAAGGGACAAGCTGGCTTTGGCTTGGAGATGACATGCCAGGCAGGCACAGCACTGAGGCCAGGCAGCGTGGTACTGTCCGGGAAGCCTGCACTTTCCATCCAGACAGGGCTCTGACTTTTTATTTCCACAAGTTAGAGCCTAAAGCCTGCAGGGAGTGAGATATCGGGAAAAACAGAGTTGCTCTCAGCCTGCAGAGGCTGGGTACCATGCAGATTTCTCTACCACACCTCATCCCTGACCTGTCTCTGTGCCCACTTTGTCCTTGACTTCTTGGCTCAGGTTGCCTATGCAGGTGCCAGCTTCAGAGATGTGGGTACCTGTCCACTAGGAACTGGATAGAAATTGTCACCTTGTCTCAAACAGAGCATGGGGGAGCCCTCCAATGAGGAATGGGCTCAGTATCTTAAGCTTTCTCTACACAAGAAAGTATTTGCCAGTGTTGCTATGCTAGTGTAGACACAGCTTTTGCCAGCAAAAGTAGCCTTGAGCCAGCAGTTCATGGCAGTTTGATGAGTGCTCATGAGTTAATCCAACTGCACCCATACTAGAGCTTTGACTGCTACAGGAGCATAGTGAAAATATCACCTCACTGCGCAACAGCACTGTACCGGGAAATGTTTCTGGAGCAGACCTGGCTTCTGTGTGTCTGAGGTAGCTGATAGGCATCGCAGAGGAATGACAACTATGGTGTTATGAATAATTGTGAACAATCAGGGCAGTTAACCAGCCAGGTCCTCGGTCTACACTGAGACAGTTCCCAGTGGCTTTGGTGGGGGGTTTCCTGCCTGTGCACAGTATATGAGCCTCCGTTTCTGGTGCTGTGTTTCAAATGCACACTTCGCCGGCCCTCCTCACAGCTGACGCCGCACAACTTCCACGCAAACCTCGGTTAGAACATTAGAATTCAACAAATCAAGTGACATTTGCCACCGGGAAAACAGTGTGGGCCAGATTCTCAGCTAGTGTAAATCAGCATTCCTCCACTGAAACCATGTTGGCTCCGATGATTTTTGCAAGCCTTGGATTTCAGGTCTTGGAGAGAGTCTGCCCCATGGGAAAAGGCAATAGATGAGACCTTGAAGTTGTATTAGGTCAGGGCTGAAAGTTGTCATATTGAGAAGGGTCCCCTCTGAGCTAAATGAGCAGGGGGCTATTTCCATGTTGTGCTGGTTGAAATTTAAAGAAAAAAATAGGAAAAATAGTTCAATAAAATGACACTTTTAAAATTATTCTGACAAAATTGTCCCCTTTTCTTGGGGAGAGAGGGTGGACGTGCATGCCAGAAATGAAGCAAAGTCCACCCTCAGACCCTATCAGAGCAGAGACACTTGGTGACAAGCCTGAGAGGCTGCAGAGGGTGAGTACAGGTCCTCAGAGTGAGGCTTGGGGTGACAATGGGGAGGGCAATCAGAGCCTGCCCCAGCTGAAGCTTTCTGGATTCCCAGTTCTCTGTCTTCTCACCTTTCTCTGTGAGCTTTTCTGGACTGGAAGACAGGCTCTGAGGATTTTATTCAAAGAACCCAAGTCCTTGGTGCAGAGATAAGGTGAAAGCCTCACAATTAATGTGTGCTGAGAATGACCGTTGATGTTTACATAGCTGCAGAAAAGTTAGGAAAGTTTTGTAAGAGATGTCTGTTCTGTGTGTTCAACAGACAGGCATGGGCTGTGTTGTGTGCTGGCAGGGTTCATTCAGGATCCCATCCCTAATGGATTTGGGTTATCAAAGGACTTAGGTCAGTGACCTTGTTAAAGAAAACAGCTTGTCTCTACAGTGGATCTCCACGCCGTTTTGTGACACTCAAGTTGTGTGAAGAGGACACATAGCTGCTGGGACTCAGCTACCATAAGGGCATCTCCTGAGGATGCAGGGACTAATCAGGAAGTGAAGGGGGTTGTGTGAAGGATGGTGAAAGGGGCAAGGTCAAAGCACATTGTGCTGCAGCCATCCAGAGCTGGTGAATCAGTCCCCACTGACCCATTCCATGTGACTAGTCCATCTGACACTATAGAGCAGCCCTGGAAATATTGTCATTACAGTCACTAGGTCAGGGCCCACTGTGCTAGGAACAAATGCCCTGTCAGAGACAGCCCCTGTCCCAAAGAGCTTGCACTCGAACTAGACAAGGAGGAAAGGGGAGTCAGAGGCCCACTGGTGTGAAGTGCTTTGCCTGTGAGCATAACACAGGTGAGGAGCAGCGTCAGGAATAGGACCCAGGTCTGCCAAGCCCCAGTCCAGTGTACTAACTGCTAGGCAGTTCTGCTTCCCTTTAATTGGTCTCTACAGTTCTTTGCAAACATAGGGCCCAATTCAGTAGTCCCCATTGAGGTTAGCAAGTGTTACATGCCATGAGGGCTTGCCAAACTCATTGTAAGAGATCTTCCCTGCCCCATTCATGCACTGATCCTCAGAACAACATGGAGTCCCATGAGGCACACTCAGCATGGGAATACGGGTCTGTGCTTCACCTCTCCCTGCTGGATCTGGATCTAAGATAGACAATGCAGAGATGAACAGTCAGGATAGGGAGGCCAGTGAGAGAGAGGTAGGGAGATGAGAAATGCCCTGGCAGGGGTGTGTATTCAGAAGGGAATGGAAAGAGAAGAAGGGGGGTGACTTGGGATAGATGCAGGTGAGCAGAAGACAAAGGGTTAAAGGAGAGGATTCGATGGACTCCACAGAGCTGGGAGCCCATATAGACCAGGGAATATGGAATGAGAATAGTAACTTCCTTATTGGACTTTAAACCACTGGGCAGGACAGGACTTTGCAGCAGGGGAGCCATTGTCTACTAAACCCTACAGGTCAGTAGAAGAATTTCTGGGGAAACCCATTCAGTTTTCATAGAGCCCAATTAAACTCCACAGGATTTTCTGTAAGGAGTGGGGCAAGGGATCAGAGGTGTGGCAGGGCTGAAGCTATCTATGGCAGCAAGCATGAGTGTGAGGAGCTGCCACGTGATGCGGCTCAAGTGGTGACTATACAATCAGCAGAAGGGGTATGAGCATTAGCAAACACCGTGTGGCTACAAAGGGAGGAGGAGAAGTGGGGAAGCCAAAGTAAAATATACAGTGCCAAGATGCGAAGAGACCAGGGCATTAGCAGTGAAGTGGGGGGCAGGGAGGAAGACAGGACACAGGCATTTCCTCTGCTCAGAGCCAGCCTTAGGGAAAATGGCACCCTGAGCAAGCTTGTATGTTGGTGCCCACCCTCCCTCCTAAATCTGTGGCTCTGCTGCAAACAGAGGCAGGCAGGCAGGGGCACAGGGCTTAATCTGGTGGGAAGGCAGCATAGGCGACTGGTAGGTGGGGCACATGCCCCCCCTGAGACTTGTTGCTGCCGACGCCAGCTTCTGTGGGTGATTGCTGCTCACCACCCCGCCGCTGCAAGCTTCTGCAGGCAATCGCCACTAGCCACCCCCCATCCCTGCCTGCTGCCACCACTGCCAGTTTGTGTGGGCAGTCACCGTTTGCCACCCCCTGCCCCCTCACTGCCAACACCGCCACCAGCTTCTGCAGCAGTCGCTGCTCACTACCCCACTGCCGACACTGCCACCCACAAAACTGTGCCCACCCCCCCAGTCTTGGGAGGCACCAGTCACCCATGAAAGGCAGAGTGGGATGGTACACCAGGCAGATGAGCGGGCAGGCACTGCATCTGCTGTGTGGGAGCAAGGTGGGAAGACTGAAGCAGAAGCCATCATGCCCACACTTGCCCAGCCCAGCTCCTCCTGAGCAGTGGCTAGAGGCAGAGCCGGGCTGATCTGGGCACCTCTCCTTCTGCCTGGGCAGAGCAAGGCTGGGGGAGAGCGCTGCTCTGAGCATGGGTAGCATGTGCGTGTGTGTGTCCCAGGGCTACAGCACTTTGGGCAATTGCCCACCCCACCCACCCTTAAGGCTGGCTCTGCCTTCCCTCACTGACACTCCCTCCTTAGCACTCTCACCTTGCACACTGCAGACCTTTGCTCTGCCCCTTCAGGATGCTGGCCATCCTCCTGCATGCACTAACTACCAACCCACTTTCAGAGGAACAGGACTCTGCCGAGTTTCCAGCTCAGTTTAGAAGGCAGCCCTAACCCAGAGGCTTCCAGTATGCAAACACCAGGGCTGACATCCCAGCACCCCAGTCTGTCATCCATTTAAGATGGTCATGGTTGCTGCTTCCTGTACTTGAACATGTTTTCCTGTCCCTCTCTGTGTTCATCCAGAGCTCTCTTCCCTGCCCCCAGGGTAGAAAGCAAGTAGGCTCATGGTTAGCTGCAGCACAGTGGTACTTCTCTCGATTTCGTTTCTTGTTTTAATTCAACTTAAATCGTTCCAAATGCATCTGGATTTACTTGGGGACAGATGAACAGTCCTAATTTAATTTAAGGCATCAAAGCTGTAACAGGATGTTGCGAATCAGAATGTCTTTGGTATTTAAGGAAAACAAACTCAGGAGCCAAGGCAGTAGCCATATAAAAAAGTCCTGTCAGTTCAGGAAAAACCTCACAACTCCCTTAGCTTCTGTCTCATTGGCTGCAGACTCATGTTGCTCAGGGTCACAGAGACAAGATCAGCTTTAAAGGAGATCTTAGGGCTCACATGCCTTTGAAAGATAAATCCCTGAGGCATCACTCATACCACTTCAGGAGACCAAGTCTCAGCTGTATCAGGCACGTGGAGTCAGTCCCAGCTGTACCTGGGCCATGTGAGACCA